AGCACTTCATGCTTCCATCTGCTGAAAAGCTTTATGGAGATGAAGATTTCATTTTTCGGCACAACCTGGCACCTGCTCACAGTGCCAAAACCACTGGTAAATGGTTTACTGACCATGGTATTACTGTGCTCAATTGGCCTGCCAACTCTCCTGACCTGAACCCCATAGAGAACCTGTGGGATATTGTGAAGAGAAAGTTGAGAGACGCAAGACCCAACACTCTGGATGAGCTTAAGGCTGCTATCGAAGCATCCTGGGCCTCCATAACACCTCAGCAGTGCCACAGGCTGATTGCCTCCATGCCACGCTGCATTGAAGCAGTCATTCATGCAAAAGGATTCCTGACCAAGTATTGAGTGCATAACTGAACATGATTATTTGAAGGTTGGCGTTTTTTGTATTAAAAACACTTGTCTTTCATTGGTGGGATGAAATATGCTAATTTTTTGGTTCAGGCATTTTGGGTTTTCATGAGCTGTATGCCATAATCATCAGTATTAAAACAATTAAAGACCTGAAATATTTCAGTTGGTGTGCAATGAATCTGAAATATATGAAAGTTTCATTTTTATCATTATATTATGGAAAATGATGACCTTTATGACAATATGCTAATTTTTTGAGAAGGACTTGTATAAATAAAGGTTGAATGAATGATTAATTTTTGGAGTCATGCCAATTCAATATGGCTGCTACAGTTAATTAACATTTGCCAACACAAAAATAGCTGTAACTAGCAGATACACTGCCTGGCCCCCAAAAAAGTCGCCACCTGGATTAAACTAAGCAAATAGGTACGAGCCTCCTATTGGATAATTACTGCAAGGGCGATTATCTTTCAGCTGGCAACAAGTTATTTAATCCCAACTGGTGCAATTAGTTGCTTCTCATTTCTTAAACAACCATGTCGAAAGACACATCAAGTGGTCGTGGAAAAGATGTCCAGTCTGTTTGAGAAGGGTCAAATCATTGGCAACAAGCAGAGAAAACATCTAAGGAAACTGCAGAAACTACTAAAATTGCGTTAAGAAAAACTGTCCAACGCATTATTAAAAACTGGAAGGATAGTGGGGACCCATTGTCTTCGAGGAAGAAATGTGGCCGGAAAAAAATCTTGAATGATCGTGATCAGCTATCATTTAAACGTTTGGTGAAATCAAATGGAAGAAAAACAAAAGTAGCACTCAGGGCTATGTTTAATAGTGAAAGTAAGAGCATTTCCACATGCACAATGTGAAGGGAATTCAAGGGATTGGGACTGAACAGCTGTGTAGCCTTAAGAAAACCACTAATCAGTGAAGCTAACTTGAAAAAAGGCTTCAATTTGCTAGGGAGCATAAAGATTGGACTCTGGAGCAATGGAAGAAGGTCATGTGGTCTTATGAGTCCAGATTTACCCTGTTCTTACTGTCTGTCTTACTACAAAGGAGCTGCTTTCTCAGCATCAGGAAGTTTGTGTACAGATCCTGGACTCAGTCGCCCCGTTAAGGCTCCATTCTTGGACCCCTTCTGTTCTCATTGTATCTGCTCCCCTTGGGGTCTATCCTGAGGAAACATGGTATTTTGTTTCATTGTTATGCCGATGATTCTCAGATTTATCTGCCTTTAAAACCTAACAGTTCCTGCTCCAGCCACCCTTTGCTAAAATGTCTTGATGACATCAAAACTTGGATGGCTGCAAACTTCTTGAATTTTAATGATAGACGACTAAGGTCATTGTGTTTAACCCAAGCTGTACTGCTGTCACTGATCCTGCAAACCTGCACTCCCTTCAGCCACATCTAAAACAGTCAGTTACCAATCTTGGGGTAGCGTTAAACTCGGACTTTAAGTTTAATAAGCAAATCAACTCTGCTCTACAAAAAAGCTTCTTTCAGCTAAGGCAGATAGCTAAGCTTAAGAAGGTTCTGTCCAGATCCGACCTTGAAAAATGAGTCCATGCATTCATTACAACCCAGCTGGACTACTGCAACTCATTTTATGTTGGGGTCAGTCAGGCTTCGCTTTCACGACTCCAGCTCGTACAAAATGCCGCAGCTCGGCTTTTAACAGGAACTCACAGGTTTGAGCACATTTCACCGATTCTTTCCTCCCTTCAATGACTTCCTGTGCGTGTCAGAATCAATTTTTAAAATTCTTCTGCTGACATTCAAGTGCATTGACGGCCTTGCATCCTCATACCTCTCTGACCTTCTTCATCCTTATGCTCCTTCTCAGGCCTTGAGATCATCTGACCAGCTGCTTTTGGTGGTACCAAAAACCAGGCTGAAACTCAGAGGAGATTGGGCATTTTCAGTCGTGGGCCCTAAACTCTGGAACAATCTGCCCATCAACATTAGACAGGCCAATTCAGTCTCTGCATTTAAAACTCTCCTAAAAACACATCTATATTCATTGACATTTAACACAGGATGATCAGATCTAGATTTAGTTTTTCTTTTATTCTGATTGTGTTTGTGCTTTTTGTTATTATTCCTTGGCTTTTGACACAGGGTGATCTGATTTAGTATTTCATTGTTTGTAATTATTTTTTCTGCTTTATATTTTTATTCCATGTGCTATAAATCTATCTTGTTACTTTTTATTTGATGCTGTGATTTTTTTGTTGTTGTTAAGCACTTTGGTAAGTTTCTGTTTTAAATGTGCTCTATAAATAAATCTGACTTGACTGTTCCAGAGTGATGGGTGCATCAGGGTAAGAAGAGAGGCAGGTGAAGTGATGTACCCATCATGCCTAGTGTCTAGTCATCAATGCAAGATCTCGGTGAAACATTAATGCAACACTGGATGGAAATAGATCTTGTGACATTGCAGAAGCTTATTGAAACAATGCCACAGTGAATCCATGCTGTAATCAAAGCTAAAGGCGGTTCAACAAAACATTAGTGTGTGACCTTTTTTTGGTGGAGACTTTTTGTTTGGCCAGGCAGTGTGTTAGCTCTAACTATGGCTGTAACTAGTAGATACAGCCGTATTCATACCCATCTGCTCTCTACAGACTCATGTTCGGGCTGCTGTTTAATACATCGTATTATTTTATATTATTAGTGTTCAGTGTATATCTTGGATCTTTTAGCGCACCATTTTGCATTTGTTTAGTGTATATATTTGATCCTCATATACTGTTTTTTTAATAGTTTATATTTTTGCTATTTGTGGGTGTAACTGGGACCTTGAGTACATAGTTTCGTTCCACCTCATGTACCACATGTGATGTGAATGAAAATAAAGAATCTTGATATTGGGCTAAAGTTTGATGTGGTAGTAGCTGAGCATCATCCTCAACATACTTCAAGCGTCAACAGAGCTTGTGAAATTGTGTTACTGTAAGTTTGATCAAAACAGCTTTAAATCCCATAATTTCTCAAAACAATATGAGATTACTGGTAGTGTGAAGGGTAGTAGTAATGCATTCCTTTAAGGAATGCCAGGTTTTTAATTTAGCTCCAAATTTTCAGATAAAATGTAAATAGAGAAATAAATGCTAAAGCTTTGGTGACATTTTTACTGTAGTTTATAAATGATATTGCTAAGGATAGATAACTATGACTAAACTACTGAAGGGTTCAAAAACTACTGTGACACCTGTAGGTGTCAAACTACACGTTTAACACCCACAAGGACATATGTTTCATTTTATTCAGGGCTCCAGTGTCATGCAGTATGTCATTACTAAGACTGCAGTTACAGTTGTGTTTTAGCAGGTTAGTCTCTGTTTCACATGTGTATTTCTATGAACCATGGAGGAACTGTGTCTATGTCACAAGTACATATAACAAACACTCCAACACAGACTGTCCAAAAAAAGACAGTGAGACTCAGCATTGGTGCAAATGTTGCAATAATGCTGGAGTATTTTTGACACAGTTGTACCTTAATAAAGTCATCTACATAGACAAAAAACAAAAGTGTGTCACATTTGATTGGTCTTTTATTTTGTCAATGAGTAGAATTACATTCAAATATGTCAATGTGATATATTTTAAATATTCAAAAATACAATTAACAACTAGAAACATTTTAATTATTTTATTGTAAAATCAAGAACAGATGCCTTACTTTAGTGAAAAACAAAATTTAAAAAGAAAAACTTTTCATGAACAATTGAATGGAAATGAGCACATTTTGTTCAACATGTAACTATAAAATATGAGCAGCTTTCCATGCACAATGAGGCGTAGCTGGATTTGTGTTTCCAAAGTAAATGTTCATCATTTCCAAAAAGACGATGTTACCTTGTGTTCAGTCTGTTAATTTTAAATGAGGAATGATCAGAAAATTCAAATCCAGATTATTATCATGCTGACAATTACCATTTCTGTTGCTACAGAGCTTTATTTTTACAGAAAAAAACATGAAAAATACACCAAAAGTAACAAAGTCCATGCTCAATAATCCAGGTATAAAATCCAACAATTTTCAGTCAGGTCATCTGGACAGTTTTTTGGGGTTTTTTTTGTGCTTAAACGTTTCACCTTCCATCCAGAAGGCTTCATCAATCAAGGAAACACACAACACAAAACAGATTCTTCCTCCAAACAGTGAAACAAACAAAAAAAAACCTGTCCCGATGACCTGACTGAAAATTGTTGAATTGTATACCTGGATTATTGAGCATGGACTTTGTTGGTTTTGAACCAGTTTGACATGACTGCCGACGAGGCAGAGGGCCGGCACTGGAGGAGGGGGCGTGCCAAAGAGACCATCTTAGCACCAACATAACTGGTTTGTTCCACTTTGAAGTAAGCTGTTGGGGGAAGAATCAGTTTTGTTGTGCGTTTCCTTGACTGATGAAGCCTTCTGGATGGAAGGTGAAACGTTTAAGCACAACCCCCCCCCCCAAAAAAAAACTGTCCAGATGACCTGACTGAACATTGTTGGACACCAAAAATATTTAATTTGAACTCTTTAAGTCATATATCAAAGCAACTTTGTGACTAATTTTGTTTTGAAAACCCTTCAAACTGGTTCTGACACAGTGAGCTTTCTTAAGTGTGTTTGTGATGCAGTTTTCTATCACGCTCTTGTCTCAGTTTTTTCCAATCCCAACAGGATGGGGGTCAGGGTGTGCTCTGCACCTCTGTCACTCTTTTAGAACAGTAGTCCTGGATACCTGGTAGGGATAGAGATAGAGAGAGATAGAGAGAGAAAAGATGGATGTGCTTCAATTTTTGAAATTAACTTTTATTTTTTTTATAAGAGCCTCAAATCACTTCTTATTTATATCACAATAAATATCATGCTGAAGGATTTTTTTTTTTTTTTTAACCAATTCTTCTTCCTCTTTAGTTGACTGCTTCCTATTTGTAAAATAAATACTTCTTCTTTCATTCCATTTAATCAGGATCTGGGCAAACTAAACAATAAAGTCATCAAAAATTATAAAGGGCCTTCACTAGAAAACAGAATATGTCTGTGTCTGCGTCGAACTTCCTTAGATATCAAAATCCACAACACAATGTAATAAAGCACAAATAGACTCTGAAAACTGACTCACTTTGCACAATAGTTTGGTAGGCTTTGGCTGCAGGAGAGTCGGGCACTTCATTGAGGAAAGACCGGCCCTCATCACAGCTCTGTGCTATCCTCGGGTCCAAAGGCACTTTGCCTAACAGAGGTAGACTAAGGTCCGCACACATTTTCTCAGCACCTCCGGTGGTTGGGGGGAAAATCTGTGAGGTGTTCTACAAGAGAGGTTAAAAAAACAAAAACATTTAGTATGCATTTGCAGAGCCTATACCTCAACAGCATAATTACTGTTTCAATCTAAACGTGAGGAGTTGAGGCACAAAAACAACCTGCAAATGCATTTTTTCCACAGTGCAACTGTTTATTTAAAGCCCTCGTGTTCAGCATAAAATCATATCAAACTTAGATGTTTAATATTTAACAAGCTGAACTAGGTCTTTTGAGATAAACAACAAATCAATTAATCGCATGATAAATTAAAATTATCAACCTCATTTTCATTTATCGGCTTTATCATTGCTTCGTCTCTCTCTTTCTACTAAAGACACTGGATGACAAAAGGCTCAACTCCGGTGCCCTTCACAAACCCCTCCCTTTCTCTTTTCTCTTGAAAATCCATTTTAACAATCCAAAATCGTGTTTTTGGATTGTTAAAAGCAACTAAGCTGAGAAGCTAATCTACGAGCTAAGCCAACAGGCCAACCTCGGGAAAAACCTCCTTCTTGTCGAAGCTCCAAAATTCACGGTTGAAACATGTGCCTTTGTGTAAAAAGTTGTTTTTCTCTGCAAAAAGAAGCTGAGAACTTGTTTACTAATTTTTTATTAAAAGCTTTGTGTGAAAAATGCTATGCTAAAGAGCTCAAACCCCACAGAGCGGCCGCCATTTTGAGAACCAAAGAGAGACAGACCATGTCACGTCAAGGGGCCTCTCTCCCATTTTTCTTAAGACACACGCTGCTCGCTTCCTCACTAGCTATCCTTCGGTTCAAACAGTCTTATACTGCCATCCGGTGGTCGAAAAAATGTACTACATGCAAAACAAATTAACACATTTATTCTTAAATTTGACAATAATTACAAATTATTGTCAAATTTCAAACAATAGTATCATTTATCGCAATAATTTCTGAGACAATCGCTCAGCAAAATTTGTTATCGTGACAGGCCTAAGCTGAACTGACACTTAAGGTGGGTATCAAGAACAAGTGCTAAACTAGCTTTGTTCTGTTTGCAATGACGCAATAATAAGCTCTGAGTAAAATGGGATCAATGTAAGCATTCTGTTAGAAAAACACCATTAATGGTTCACTAATGATGAGAAAATTATTAGACTAACAATTCTGGGCTCCCAAGTTATGGCCCGTCTCCTTCAAATGAGGACTTGTCTTCAACATAAGTCAGCTAAATGTTCAAACTTACATGCTCCTACATATCCCTTAAAACATTTTCAAGCCAGGCCTGAGGAGTCTCTTTGAAGTCTCTAGTGTGGATTATCAAAGTACTAAAGAGTCATGGGTGGTTGGAGTCAACTCCCTACTGTTATGCTTTTGAACCACCAAGCAAGGTAGTAACAGAGTTGAAACAGCCATTATATGTAAGCTGACATCACAGTTTAAGGGTGTGATGTAGCAATGACGACTGAGATTTAGAATGAGAAATGTTTGACACATTTTATAAGACGAGCTCCTCAAACATTTTAAAGATGTTGGCTTTATTTATGAAAGCTCACATCAATTTAAAAATGGCCAGAGGCATTTCTAAAAGGTCGTCTTTGCATCGTCCACAAAGCACTGGTACTCATGATATTTGTCACCATAAACTTACAATTGTCCCTACATTAAGGAAACACTTATAGTTTTTACCATAAAGTCGATACAAGATTGAACTCATGACTCATTTGTTTTAGTTCCGAAGTAAACTCTCTTCTATTCTGACAGTCCACGTTAGTTAGTTAGCTTCTACATATTTGATAAAGGAAGCAAAACTCAAATTAGTAGTAGACAATGCAGAATGTCAGTGGATTTCTCAAGTTTCTTTCTAAAAAAAATCTGCTTTCACTAGACTCAAATAAATTAAAGGGTGTTCTGTAGCCAACAGCTCACAATTGTTTCGTTTAGTGCTAAGCTGTTATCCCGAGTATTAACTTGGAATGGAAGCTGTTCTGACCAAAAGCTATTGTGTGTCTCAGAAAATTAGAATATTGTGAAAAAGTTCAATATTGAAGACACCTGGCGCCACACTTTAATCAGCTAATTAACTAAAACACCTGCAAAGGCATTAAAATGGTCTGTCAGTCTAATTTTGTAGGCTACACAATCATGGGGAAGACTGCTGATTTGACATTTGTCCAAAAGACGACCATTGACACCTTGCACAAGGAGGGCAAGACACAAACGGTCATTGCTAAAGTGGGTGGCTGTTCACAGAGCTCTGTCTCCAAGCTCATTAAAAGAGATGAAGGAAAGGAAAAGATGTGGTAGGAAAAAAAGTATACAAGCAATAGAGATAACCGCACCCTGGAGAGGATGGTGAAACAAAACCCATTCCATAATGTGGGGGAGATTCACAAAGAGGACTGCAGCTGGAGTCAGTGCTTCAAGAACCACCACGCATAGACGTATGCAAGACATGGGTTTCAGCTGTCGCATTCCTTGTGTCAAGCCACTCTTGAACAAGAGACAGCATCAGAAGCGTCTCACCTGGAACTGCTGTTGAGTGGTTCAAAGTTATGTTCTCTGATGAAAGTAAATTTTGCATTTCCTTTGGAAATCAAGGTCCCAGAGTCTGGAGGAAGAGAGAAGAGGCACAGAATCCACGTTGCTTGAGGTCCAGTGTCAAGTTTCCACAGTCACTGATGGTTTGGGGGGGCCATGCCATCTGCTGGTGTTGGTCCACTGTGTTTTCTGAGGTCTAAGGTCAACGCAGCCGTCTACCAGCAAGTTTTAGAGCATTTCCTGATTCCTGACCAACTTTATGGAGATGCAGATTTCATTTTCCAACAGGACTTGGCACCTGCACACAGTGCCAAAGCTACCAGTATCTGGTTTAAGGACCATGGTATCCCTGTTCTTAATTGGCCAGAAAACTCGTCTGACCTTAACCTTGACCTAAATCTTGTGAAGAGGAAGATGTGATACGTCAGACCCAACAATTCAGAAGAGCTGAAGACCTCTATCAGAGCAACATGGGCTCTCAACACCTGAGCAGTGACACAGACTGATCGACTCCATGTCACGCTGCATTGATGCAGTAATCCAGAAAAAAAGGAGCCCCAACTAAGTATTGAATGCTGTACATGCTCATACTTTTCATGTTCATACTTTTCAGTTGGCCAACATTTCTAAAAAAATCCTTTTTTCCTGGTCTTAAGTAATATTCTAATTTTCTGAGATACTGATTTGGGGTTTTCATTAGTTGTCAGTTATAATCATTAACATTAACAGAAATAAAGATTTGAAACATATAAGTATGTTTGTAATAAATGAATATAATATACAAGTTTCACTTTTTGAATGGAATTACTGAAATAAATCAACTTTTCATAATATTCTAATTGTATGACCAGCACCTGTACTCTACTCTTCTCTTGAAAAAAAAATATGGATGATTACAGACCTCCCATTAGGGAGCGGGGACTGTGCATCAAGCTGTTTAGAAGAACAGGTTTGTCCTGCAAAGGTGAAAGCAGTAGAAGTAGAACACACTGAAAACAGACAATTCTTAGAAGAGGAAAACAGCAAACAATCAGGTCTGGCTGAGGCACACCACAGACTGCTCTTCTGCTTCTTGTTTCAACTAAAACCTGGCTTCACTGCAACATTTATGACTGCTACAAATCTAGTTGGATGGGCTTACTTTCTGTGTAGACAAGATTAAAGAGAGCTCCATTAAGAACAGAGGTGACCTGTGTGGGTACATTAACAACACAGCAGCAACAATGTGATTGCTAATAACTCAGTTAATGATGGATGTAGTAAAAAAACGCAAAATGTCGGCACTTCTACCAATAATGAAAATTCAAAACACTGTCGAGGGCTCATCTGATCCTATTATAATGAGTTAAAGTTACACACCCAGTCAGTTTCATTGTGACTTCTGGACATTTCAACTATGCAAACTTAAAAACAGTTCAGCTGAAACATTAGTACTTTGTTCACCCCACTAAACATATGGAATCAGATTTATATGAAAAGGGCTGACAAAGTAGTCCCTTATGCACATCCTAAATTCTCAGATTACGTTTTCCCAGCATTCAAAACTGCTTTGAGACACATTCATATTATGTGTATGAAAGATGGTTGAGTAAGTGATTGTTGATTAACTGAAACATGCTAGAGAGGCTCTCACACACCATGAATGTAGCAACTCATTATATATTCAGGCACACAGAAAAGTGCATGAGTGATGTCACAGTCATCCTAATATTCAGTACCCAAGCAGATTAAAGTAAAACCCCTGAATCACATCAGAAGTCAGATGAAGGTGGAGATTTAGGAAGGCATCTTTCAGACAAAGTAGCCTTCAGGTGAGAAGGGGTTCTCTGCAGACCAAAAGTGGGCGTTTCTGGCGAATAGGCGTTTATGGGCGGCGAACACTGATTGGCTGTGGGTAACCCTCAAAGTCACGAGGATTATTGATGAGGTAACGTTTCTTTGCGATGTTTGACAAAGAAATATGATTTATTGTACTTATAAAGTATGTTATGTTTTCACTTATGCATTTTATTGAAGTACGTTTATTGTAGGTCACGATAGTTTCGACCGTTCTCTCGTTGTTGTCGTAACGCACTGAGGTAAAGTGAACCTCCACTCGGCTCCAGCAGCTCTCACTGTGCACGTTTACAACAACTGGGTGTTGCTTTTCAAAATAAATCACCTCCAAAGTTTAACATAGTTCATAGTAATAGTCAAAAGTTGCTGACCTTGTTGCAACATGAGTTAACACAAACATGAGTGTAAATTGTCAATGATTCAATAATGAGTAATAACTTATTCAATAAAAAGTCTGTAATTTGTCAATAATAGTCAATAATTCATTCAAGAATAGATTATGGGTGTTTGGTATGGCTCAGTGGCTAAAATGGGTTGGATGTTAGAGAAATTACTTAATTTTAAATTACCTGAATGCACAAATTCCTTCATTTATAGTTAAACTTTAGGAAATCAACTTTTTTTTTCCTTGTGAAAAAAATATCAAAATTAACTTTAAAATCCAATCCAGGATTAAGTAACAACTAGCAACACCCTAACTGTACTATGTTCTGTGTTTCCAACAGATGCTACGATGACTTCTAAAAATGGATGTCCCAATAAACACAATAAAAAAATTCAATGATGCATCAAATGTTGTCTGAGTATGTTTTAAGGTAATAACAAATGTGAAATCTGGAAAACAAAGAGAATTCCTGAATCTGTCTTGTGTGCTTTGATGTGTACATAAGTTTATTGGAGGTCCTGAAACAACTTTTCTGAGAACACAAAGATTTTTATTTTACCTTTAGCCAAGATGTCAGTTTGAAATCATTCTGCTTACTGCCAAACCAAGAGGTTTTTTAAGACGGTCTTCATTTGTATTGTTTTGTCGACTAAGCTAAATGTAATTTCTAAAATATGGATAAATCTGATCTCATCATGCAGCATAAGCAACTGGGTACAGGTGTGAGGGCCAAAAGTCTGGTTATGTACTGACTCCTAAATGTGCTCGTTTTCTACTGAAACATGGAGTAGGGTTGACCTTTAAAATGTGAGACAGCTGAGGAAGTTAACCAGTAAACAGAATACCTGCTCCAGGTGCAGAAATCTGACAGAACCTGAGAATCACTCATCTGTAGTGACTGCAGGTTGAACAAGAAAATGTGAAGTTAAAGGAAACATTCTTTGTCCCAAGGCCACTTTAAGTATCATTAATATTTTTCTTTCTTTATGAATCGATTGTAACTTTGTTCACATTTTTCAACAACCAAAATGGAATTTGTTTTTTAATGTTATGGCTAGGTATTAAAAAAACCCAAACATTTAGCTCTCCCCACTACCCAGTTATGTTGCTCTTATTTTGAAATGTAACCGGAAGTTCTGTGTTAAGAGAGTCGAAAAAAGAAGTTACGGAGACGCCGCGGCAGCATACTGGAGCAATGTAGAACCGAGACGCCGCCGCCAGTGTTGAACCTGAGACGCCGCTAATGTCGAACCGGTTAATACCATAGACATAATATGCCTGTGGGTAACACAATCTGCCAATAACACCTTGTTTTTAGACATAATGTGTCTGTGGTTACGGCATTTTATCGTTCAGCCTTTTTTTCTATCGTCCAATCAGATGTGGCCGCCCAAACACGCCTATTTTTCTATCGTCCAATCAAATATGGCCGGCCAGACACGCCCATTTTTCTATCGTCCAATCAGATGCGGCCGGCCAGACACGCCTCTTTTCATATAGTCCAATCAGATATGATCGCCCAGATACGCCTTCCGAATTTGGCTGCAGAGATACCTACTTGCTTCAGGTTGGCAAGAAGTGAACTTTCCTGAGCTATTAAGAAAAAAAAAATAATTAAGACATAAAACACTAAACAGAAACATCATAAGTGGGTGGGTCACCAGTGATGACTCCTATCACAATAAACCAAATAATTTAAATGGCTGTTTAAAGACATTTAATAACCCACCAGCTAAGAGAACCCCTTACAGTTTGCTTAATTCTGCCAGTCCCATAATGTGAGCACACATGCCCTGCACATATTATTCCACGTAATGAAAAAGAACAGCCATGTCAAGATTCTGTTCGTCTCGTTTCTCTTCAGACTTAAATACCATTATCCTTCAGCAGTTTACAGTAACGCCCTACTTACTCAGAATAAAAACTTAACTCTGGAAATGGATTTTGTATTCCTTGTCAAAAACCCAAAAGACTGCAAGTGCTGGCAGTAAAATGTCACACTATTTAAATGAACACAGGAACTACTCAGGGATGTGTACTCAGTCCTTTGAACTTTAAGGCTCCCACATACTTGGGTGTGCTGTGTGTACTCTGTGAGTCGCGCGGACTCAGCATGCACTGACCGCAGAAGGTTGAGACGTCATACTCGAGTGTACACCCTGATGGGCTGTAGCCCAGCTCTGCAGGCAAGGGACATTTACCTTCGGGACAAATTGAGGTTGCCGATTGGTCATTTGCTGACACGCCTACTGGATTGATTGACAGGTTGCCAAAAAACCCCAAAAAACTGAGAGCTGCCGACGGCCCTGGGTAGAGGCAGCTGGCAGCCCAGGAACAGCAGCAGCGGTGCTCTGTGTTTATATGTTGTTAATAAAAAGTTCTAAATAAAAAAACAAACAAAAACAGGGAGCCCTGGCCCTGCAGCCCACACATCAGACCGGCCCACCAGGAAATCTCCAGATCCTCCCGCAGCCACGCTGGACCTGATTTTAATTCTCTTGTGACAAATTCCTTCATTTCTCACAATTTCAGTGATGGCGTCAACAGAGGAGGAAGAGATCGCTTGTCTCTTGGCAAAAAAAAAAAAAGGCCATTAAACCAGACCAGGAAGGAAGAAGGGGAATTTAATACAATGGTGTCGCATATAAAACAGTCCGTCGCTGGGCAGTTTATTGTGCAACACAGAGTACACGTGCGTGGTCGTAAAAATGTATCTTTGCGCGGACAGGGCTTGCGGGCATCCGCTTCGAGTACATTCGAGTGTGCGGGGGCCTTTACTCTACTAAGACACGAGTGTACTGCTGCAGTGTAATGGGCAAGACATCTATGCAACATGCCATGATAAGTGCTAAGAAAATTCCTGAAGTTTTGCTCCCAATTTTAAGGGAAGATGCAAGACGAAAACCCCTACCTCCCTTCTAAGAGATCTGTCTCACCCCTCCTGTGGATTGTTTAATCTTGCATCATCTGATGAAAGATATCATTACGTCAAATCAAGAACAACCAAAAATGTGCAAAGCTTCATTCCTAAAGCGATAAGGCTCATAAGCATACAAATACTTTTTTGCACCCATCTGTCCAAGAGAAACCATTTGGTCTGTTGTTTAGTTTTGTACATAAAACAAACAAACAAACAAAAGTTGACAGGTAAGTTCACACACTGAGCTGCATGTGGCTGTAAATACAGTGTAGATGAACCTTTAAGTCAGCAGAGAAAAAACTAAACAAATACACAAATACAGCAAAAAGAAAGTAAAGGGCATGTTGGTGTTGTGGTTAACTTGCACTGTTCCTCTTTTTTGTGCATTGTGTGCACATTTCTGTGAACTGGACTAAGAAATGTTGTCTGCACACCTTTCTTCACCAAGTTGGAAAGTTCATCATCACAGACATGAATGAGCAATACTGTGCTCCCTGCATGCAGCTTTAAAACAACAGAACCAGTTGTCAGTAAGGTTAATATTTACAATGTTGTTGAGGTAAACGAGCATTAGTCATTGTCTTTATTGAGTAACTGTGTCTGTATATTTGAGTCAGTGACCTTGCATTTGGGGCAGACAAATCCGCTCATGTTCTCCACCACTCCAATGATCGGCAGCTTAACCTTTTGACAGAACCTGATTTCCTTTCGCACATCCTGCAATGACACCTCCTAGAAGATGACAACAACAAAAAAAACAAGTCAGTAAGTAAAAGAAGGAGGTGTGAAGGAGGGAGAGGGGGTGTATGAAAAGATGGCTGATGAAAGAGCAATAAACTAAACAGTTTTCTTGTTTGAATGTACTGAAATGATTAATAGTAATAAAAAAAAAGAGAGAGAAAAGAAAAACTTTGATAAGAGCCAACCAAAATAATAAAATGTTGCTTGTTTCTCATGGTAATTTTAGCTTGGCATGCACATTAGTTATGGTTACACTGTAACTTAAGGTATGAGGAAGTGTTTTGGCTGAAGTGTAATGTCACAAGACCAAACCAAAACTATCAGGAAATGTTTCTTTTAAACAGTGTCGCACCGAGTTCAGTGGAAAGTGATTTGAGGGGCACGAACGAGCATTTAAAATCACTTGAAACAAACATTACCCACAGAGTAATCTTGGTTAATTATATTTATTGTATATATACAGGGGCCCTATTGACCCCTGGTTAAAAGAGATACTTTAAAATTAAAAATTAAACTTCATAACTAGTATTTCTAAATAAGGACAGGTCAAAGTTGAACTAAAAAAAAATTATGAGTGTGATGAAAGCCCGTGTCTTCATATCAGGATGACAACTCTCAGTAGGTTATAAACACAATTTGTTTTTTTATAAATCTAACAAAGATGAGGAAAAGTTTCAAAAAGTTTAACCGTAGTATTTTGTCTTTTTAGTTAGTAACAGTAAAATAAAACAAAGTTGATATAAATTGCATTTTTTTCCCCCAAATAACCTAAATATAACAACAGAACGAAACTCCCAAAATGATGTTGTGGCCTTTGGGTTTGGTTTTCCACCCCAAGATTTTTATGGTTCGTTACAGTTGTGGTTAAAGATAAAGTTATCACTTACAAATAAACCATCAAATGAACAAAGACATTTAACATCTTTTTAGGAAATGCATCACATTACAAGTACAAGGCAAAACAGATGCAGTGAAAGTATATGCGGTATGCACACAACCTTTAAAGATGGAAATTCCCTTTACAGTTCTTTATACTAGTAGCTGTCTCTTATTGCTGTGTCAGGCCTAAATAGTCATACAACTATTAAGCTTGTAGGTGACTCAGCAAAGACTCAGTTTGTGTACAGACACGAGCACCAACAGGATGAATTAACCGAAGACTGTTTGATTTCAACAATGGCATTCACAGTGTTTAGTAACTCTCTATGTGTAGTGAAAGTCTTTTAAGAAATAATTATTATTAAACAGGATTATTGAGCATGAACTTTGATGTTTTGAACCACTTTGGCTGTGGCGGCCTCAGAGGAGTCGACGGGGGAGAGGGCGGCCCCCAGAAACCATCTTATCACCAGCAAACTTGTTGGACCACTTTGGGAGTGTGCTGCTTGTGGGACTGTTTGTTTGTGGCTCCTTAGACTGATGAAGTCCTTTGGATGAAGGACGAAATGTCTCTCAACAACAACAAACCGTCCACATGACCTGACTGAACAGTGATGGCAATTTTACCTGGATTACTGAGCATGAATCTTGCCGTTCTAAGAAATGTTTATATACGAATACAGCAAGTTTATTTTTTGCCATTGTTTTAGTTTTCTCTTTGTAAAAGTACTTTTATGAAAAATTATTATTATTATTGCTCCTTGAGATATCTATAGAAAAGCATAAGACGAAGCCGTAAAAATCACCAAAAGAAACAAACAAGATAAGCCTTTTTTCAGAAAAATGTTCATTTAAGCACAAGTTGTTAACATTAGTTTTTTTAACCCTTGTACTTCCCTTGGGTCAATGGGGGCCATTTTGACCCACATGGCAGCAGGACAAATCAAACTGGAGAGCAGGTGTTATATTGTAATAACCTGTTGGTTAAATACAGCGTGTGTTTAGGAATAAAACAGCCAGGCAGGTGTTTTATATGACTTTCCTGTTAGCGTGCTAACCTGAGTATTTGTATGACTCAACATCATCTGGAGAACCAGTAAATCTATTACTACTACGGTACGAAAAAATTTAATATATTGCACTAAAATAAATAAAAACAAAGATAATTGGTGTGTAACACAAACCCAACACTTATCCCCCTGAGAACTTGAGTACAAAAATAAACCATGTTGGAAGCATCATGATGTTTCACATCAGAAGGTTTTGAAAAATGTATGAATTACACTAAACACCACTGCCTCTGAGATGTAGAGTTTTTAGCCTGGTAGGGAACAGAAAGTGTAACGAAGGTTTATCTTTATGAATGACAACAATCCTACACATTCTGCTCAAGTGGCTATTTCAAAAAGTCAAGTCAGAGCCAAGAACCCTAAACCGACAGAAAAAAGTGGCATACCTGTGGTGTGGTGATGATGACCGCTCCGTCAACATGAGTGGAGCTGAGGTACTGCACGACTGACAAGTGTTCATCAGAGGTGCCGGGTGGAGTGTCCAGGATGAGGTAATCCAGCTCCCCCCAATCAACATCCCTTAAAAACTGCTTGATCATCCCTATTTCAAGACAAATTCACACAAGTTGTAGTTTTCCAACATTCAGAAACTATTAACTAAAAACTACACATGGACACACCATTTTTCTTGGGTCCTCTCCAGATCACTGCATCATCAGGACTACTGAGCAGAAAGCCAATAGACATAACTGCCAGGTTGTCATCTACATACTGCAAACACACAGGATAAAATACAAACTTGATTCTATTCATTGTTTTCAAACAATGTGACCATTAAATGTGGAAATCTGTCTGAAGTGACTCACCACAGGAGACCAGCCGGAGCCACTCTGATGAACCTACATGTGACAGAACAGAAGAGACAGAACCAGACGTGTTACAAAGAAATGTTTCCCTCAGTTCAAGGAATCTGTGTGTAAAGGATCTCAAATCAAACAAAGACACACGTCATTTTAAGTTTAAAACTTACAATACGTGTTGTGATTGAAATATTACAAATGGTTCGGAGAATCAAATGGTTTCAACCTTTTTTCTAAATGACTTACTTGTTCACCCTCCAAGCCCATGATCCTGGGAATGGACGGACCGCAGATATCCACATCCAGGAGGGCCACCTAAAAACAGGGAAATGGTGAAGAAAAGAGAAAAGAGCTTTCTCTGAACCACTTCTTTCTGTTTCCCAAAGGAAGAGCTCCAGCAACACAATCAAACTAATTAATTAAATAAATAAACTCTTTAAGTGTCATTTTAGCAGCATCTCTTTGAAGAGCAGGAGAAAGAATCCATTTTGACATCGAGATCTATAACAAGTGAAGATATTGTAAGTGCCATGTTTAAAACTCAGTTAAACTTTTAGTTTGTTTAGTTTGTACAAAACAAACATGCAGCTTCAACTAAAATAAAACTAGAGAAATTGCATTTCCTGCAAAAATGCAATGTGAATGCTTAGTGCAGAAGAACTTCCCGAAAAACAGATGAAATTAGCTAAAGCATGCTGAAATGTAGCTGAAATAGAAGATCAAGCCTAAATTATCAGCCGAAAGCAGAAAGAACGCATATTTGCTGAATTAGGTTTAAATAAGCAGAAATGTGCACAACAATTAGGAAATTAGCTAAAAAAAAATAGACGAGAAGTAGCTAAAATGGCAAAAAAAATAAATAAATAAATAAAACTATCAGAAGGATGTGGAAAGGACTGGAATGAGCTAAAAAAAAAAAAGTGAAATTAGCTGAAAAAGTTCATTCTAGCATCAAAAGAGCTAAATAGTAGCTGAAAGAGCTGAAAAAGCTGGAAGGAGCATAACAAGCTGAAATTAACATAAAGCAGTTAATTAGGCTGAAAGTAACAGAAATTCAAATGAAAAACTTGAATTTATCTGAGTGAAAACAGCTGAAATTAGCTAAAAACATGCTACAAAAGGTAGCTGAAAAGTTAGAACAAGTTTAAGTTAGCAGAAAAAAGTGGAAAGAACACACGTTTGCCCAATTAGGCTGAAAAAAGTTTAAATGAGTGCAAAAAATCTGGAATTAGCTGAAAAAGCTAAAATTAGCATAAAAACAGCTAAACTGTAGCTGTAATTTACATACACTCTTAGTTCATGACTCGGATCTTACTGTTTTTCTTTACAAGTTGTGCTTATGTTGGATGTAACTGGGACCCTGTGTACATAGTTTCGTCCCACCTCATGTACCACGTGTATGACAAATAAATATCACTGAATCTCTGAATGTGAATCTCTGAAATTGCAGAAAAAGCTGAAGCTTGCATAAATAAGCTGAAAGGAGCATAATAAGCTCAAATTAGCAGAAAGAAGTTAGAAGAAGCACAACAATTAGCAGAAAGAATCTTAAAGGAGCACACAAAACAGCTGAAGAAACAGCTGAAAGTAGCTGGAAAAAAGTTTAAATTTGCAGAAGGAAGCTGAAAGAAGCTGAACCAGAACAAAATGTGAAAGGAGCAGAAAAAAGGTTGTAAACAGATGTGAAGATCTGAAGGATGGAAAATGAGCTCAATTCATTTCCTATGAGAAAAAAAATGGCAGAAAAGGCTAAATATTTCAAAAAGCTAAAGTTGCACCACTACCAAAAGTCATAGCAGGATTGACCTGAATGATTTGATTCATGATTTGTTGAAATAGCACAAAAATTGTGGAACGAGAAAGATGCTGAAAAACATACGAAAGAAAAACGGATCACAATAGTGTGAATGCTTCATAAACATTCACACTGTTAGTTGTAGCCAGCTAGCTGGAACTGTCAAAAACACTCAAATAGCAACGCATTGTTTAAAACAGTGTCTCTAACAACGTTACAAGACAATCCTTGAAATCAGCATGTATAAAGTGTCTGCGTTGCATTTCTTTTCAGAAATTCAGATCAATAGATGGAGGATCAAATATTTACTGGAAGGAAGCTTTTGAAGTGACATAATTACATAGTTTTGGCTATGTAAAACCAAACTGGGTGTACCTAGCCGGTTTGTTTTGTTTTTAGTAGAACCACCTCCAGCACCGATCCCAGTCTGAAACCTCTGATAGAAAACCTTTGACGTGTTAACTGTTGCCGTAGTTGTGATCTTCATTCTATATCAGGAGACAATCTTTAGAGCAAGTTTGGGCTTGGCAATACATTTCTTGCTTTTGTCTTTGACAAAACACGTGCAAGAGACGGCAATAAGTAGAGGTGAGATAGGAATGTGGCTCGAGACATTCTGCTGGACGGACGCCACCAAGCTCTTTCGAAGCTCCACTGGAGGAGGTGTGTAATGGCTGAGCTTCTGCCTTAGAGCTTAAACACAATAAACATATCAGAGAAGAGGAATGTGGTGAACTAATCTTGTTGCTACATAAAACCTTGATTTTTATATAGTCACTTATCTCTGTATTCACAGCTGGTCTGTCTACAGCTCCAATCCTTACATTTATGCAGGCTCTACCTCAGTTACATGGTTATTTTTCCTTTCGATTTCTTTTTGATGCGTGGGCTTGATCAGGCCAAACACGAAGAGGTGCTCAATCCTTTGCATTTCATGCATGCACTAAATCACAAACAAAATAATCTCCAATGTCTTCAAGATTTATCATTCTTCCTCGCATCGTGTTAAAAAGACGTGGCATTAATTTCAAGAGCTACTTTCTCAAAACATTTCTGCAAACATAAAGAAAACTACTTATTATACAACTTGCATAATGCATAAACAAAAGCACCGACTTTATCAACGTGACATTTAAGCCTTAAGATGCACAGTAGTCCCTCGCTACTTCGCGGTACGATTATTGCGGCCTCGATCTATCGCGGTTTTTCAAAACAAGATTGGACATGACACACAATTCATTCATTCAACCTTTATTTTGACAGGTTCATCCCATTGAGCCTCGAGGACTCGTTTACAAGAGAGACCTGATTTTAACAAAGAACGATGACAACAATGAATAACAACGACAACAATAGACTGTTATAAAATAGGCATACACATACAAATTTAAGTTTCTTCTTTTTTTTTTTTTACAAATCAAAACAAAATAGCAACCAAAAGGACAAACAAGAGGAATAGTCGCAAAAAAACAGCTAGATTATAAGGCGATGTAGAAAACTAAAAACAGGAACATGTCTGCATTGGTTTTTCCCAGGAACTTAGCAGATGTTTAAAGTCACTTAGAGAGGTCAAGGTCAAGAACTTCTATCTTTTTCAAGGTGTTCCAGGAAACAGGAGCAGAGTAGGAGAAGGCCAAGTTCAGTCCTCACTGAGGGAACGCTGCAGGTAATAATGTCCTGAGAGCGCACGCTGTAGCTGCACTCACGTAGAGACATGTAGGAGGAGATGTATGAAGGCAGTTAACTGATTGATGGATGAGTCGCACGTGCTGCAGCACCTGCTGCACCTGTGTGCAGCCCACAGTTGCAGAAGCTTCCTCCTGCGGCCCACAGCTGATCTCTGCTCTGCAGGAGAAGTGGGCGTGGCCGAGAGCACTGGCAGAGAGCTGAAATCATGACATGCTGTGCACTTTTAGAGCGTTTAGAGTTTAGAAACATTCTTTAGAATATTGCAAGAGTGTGGGGTTTAAAATATACTGTATTTTCTGGCGTATAAGTCGCTCCGGAGTAGAAGTCGCATCAGTCCAAAAAAAAAAAAAAAAAAGCATCACGAAGAGGAAAAAACATATATAGGTCACTTTGGCGTATAAGTCACATTTATTATGCATAACTGCTGAGCTGTCGCGTTTATTTAATGGTCAAAACAGCTTCATTTCACCTGGGTGGTGCCATTCATCCATCGTGGCCAGAGCTGCTAACTCTCCAGCATTCCTCCACTTGCACCAGCTGAGTGAAGCAAGTGCGCATGGGAGGATTCGCTGTTGCGGTTTTTAAAAATTTAACAAGATTAACACTTAAAGAACAACTCTTTATATACATATACATTCTTACATACACACACACACACTAAAATAAACTACTACTAACTACTTGTACTACCATTCCTACTTCACAGTTTTTCACTTATCGCGGTGCTTCAGAGTAACAGATCCCCTGCGATAAACGAGGGACTACTGTATTTGCTTTGTACCAAAACGACAAACCTTTAACGTGTATACTTACGTAAACCGTCGGCCAACAACATTTTTCAACTTAAAACTAACTTTTATTTGGTTTCAATTTTGAGCATAAAGTGATGAAGTGATTTATGCTAATGCACATAAAGATGAAGATCTGAGAGCTGGGAGGAGAGAGCCTGAGCTGTTCGTTCAATCAGCTGATCAGCTGTGAATGTGTATGTAAGGAGATCAGTAACTCCTTACAGTCAATAACTGAGGAGATTCGCATGCAGGATGGTCCTTCTTGATCAAACACCAACTGGACTGATGGGGCAAAGACTGCAGAGCAAACTTTATGCAGCGATTGAGATGTCTTGTTATGTCTGAACAGGCATTGTTGGGACTTTCGAGGTAATGTTTTTCCTGTGATTGTGTAGCAAAATATCTCACAAACCACTTGTTGGACTTTAATGAAACTCTCAGAAAGTTATCAGTAGATGCACCTCTTGGTTGTGGTGCACCTCAGTTTGCCAACACAATTGAGTAAACTTACAAAAACATTATAAATTGAAACAACTCTGCCAATTTTACAGACATAGAAATAAAAATTGGTGCGAATATGTCAAGTCATCCTCACCTCTTTCTCGGAGTGCTACCATATCTGACAGGATCTCATAGTATCACATAAAGTAGTACTGACATTTACAAGGTTTGACCAAAATGGCTTCAACTCCCATCATTTCTCAATATAAAATGATTTCAGTGTAAAACTCTAGCACAAAAGGCGACACGTCTTTAAATAGAAATGTTGTTTAGTTAAACAGCGATCGACTGTGACGGAAAGTTTAGAAGGAAATCGGTGACACCAGGTCCATGCTGGCAGTCATGCAGATGATGGTTGCTTTAGGTGTGAGAGTGGAACGCTTCAGTATTTTCATGCCTACAGTGGACTCTAGTGGTTGTTTTTGTAAATCAAATATGCAGAAAGCAGACAAAAAGAAGCCTTGAGGAAAAGATCATTTGGCTGTTATGCTTGGGTAGATTTGGCTCACATTGTTTGTGTCCACTCGTCTCCTTTGAATGTAAAATCATTGAAAATGAGATAAATCTGATAATCTCTTTGTTATGAAGAAACATTTCTGTTGTGATCAGTTCATCTGTAGGTAAAGTTTAATACAGTAGTCCCTCGCTACTTTGCAGTTTCTCAACAATTGTCAACTTTAATATTACTCACGTGATTGGGACGGTACGGGATAAAAAGTTAACGAAAAAAATACTTCGGACAGGTGCCGCCATTTTGTAGTTTTCTTTCAATAAGCCTACACTGTAAGGCCAGTCAAAAGAACTACGCTACCCAGAAGCCAACAGTGCTTCCAGCCCCTGTTTTCTGCCGAAATGGAAAGAAAGTTTTGCAACACAAAGTCAGAAGTAACGATCTATCTATGAAGATCTGACAGAACTGGCAGGAAAGTCACAAATAATCCTGAAGCTGAAGTTGTATCTTCACTGGTGAGTAGCTGGGCTGCAGCTGATCCAGACTCAGTGTGACCCGTATCCTGGGGGCTGCAGGGAACAGACCGAAGTGGGGTTCGGCCTGGTTCTGGTCGCGCAGTACTGGTCTGTACTGGGCTGAGGTGGTGGACTAATCCTGGGCAGCTTTGCGCGCAGTATCCTTCCTGGAGCGGTAGCACGTGCACATCAACCTGGACGGGGCGGTGGGCTTCATCATGCTGCAGGGTGGCCAACCAGAACCGAGCTTCTGCAGAGCTGGTGAGCATGGCTGGATTAACCATATGGGCAACTGGGCAACTGCCCAGGGGCCCATGATCTCTAAGGGGCCCAGGGCAGTGAGGGCACAAACAGAATATCTGGTTAGCTCCTGCTTTACTTGTTACCCTGTGCAGCACAGACAGACTGCTGCGCTTCCACTGCATTTGAGCAGCCCCGCCTCCTCCCAGTGCGGCTGCTGCAGCTCTCGTTTTTTTTTTGGGGGGGGTCAATCGGATCTTCAGCGTGACCTGTCAATAAACTCGGAAGGCGTGTCAATAACTGACCAATCTACAACCTCAATTTGTCCTGAAGGTAAACGCCCCTTACCTGCTGACAAGCTCATCAGTTTTTTTCCCTTGAGAAACATTGTTTTAATGAAAACAATAAATTTGTATCTGGTGTGAGATTATTCTAGCAGTTTTGCAGATTTTTAATCTACTTAATGAAGAATAGTATGACTTAAAATCGTTCATCAAACAGGAAGGAGAGGTTATTATCACTCCTCTTACTACAGTGAATGTTGTACTTTGTTATAAGTACGACTATATTTATGGCATCAGAGAAAGCTGAGCTTAAGTTATCTACAGAAAGTAAAATGGCATCAGCATGAAAAGAAGGAATGTTAAGTTTGAGATTAATCCAGTTTCTGATGTTTGACCAAACGCTTTGTATTGACTTTTTTTTTTTTATTATTGCTCGAGGGATTCATCTTCTGATTTACAAAAGGCACACAAATCAACCTCAAATTTAAATCTTATTTCAAGAAACATGGCTACAGGATATATCTTGTTTATTATTGTTAAATTATTCTTTTATTTTCATTCAACCTTTATTTAGACAGGTAAATCCCATTGAGCCTCAAGGACTCATTTACAAGAGAGACCTGATACCTCCTGATTCTCCTGAGACCTGATTTTCCTTCACTTTAGGATATTTAGGCCATTTGACAAATTAGAAGGAGCAGAAATCATACTGGTTTTATGATGTATATTAGGAGGTTTCTAGAAGGAATCTTTGTTATACTCAGTAAATCCTTTGTTGCAAACATTCATTGATAATCTTATTACATTTGAAGTCGACTAAGTTACATATATTTAAATTTAATTTGGGCATCAAATCGTCACCTTTGAATATATAATATTTTTAATTAATTAAATCAGCTGTTGGTCAGGCTACTTCTTGTTGTGCCATTAGCTCTAAAATAGTTACTGAATCAAGTGTTTACTTCCATCAATCCGTGGGGGTAGCAGCCTAAGTGGGGAGGCCCAGACTTCCCTCTCCCCAGCCACTTGGACCAGCTCCTCCAGGGGAATCCCAAGGTGTTCCAAGTGTTTACTGATGTAGGTAAAACTAGAATGCAGGAGATGGGATCTACTTGATCTTTCAATTGATTTTGGTGATATTATTTACATGAACGCTCCTACAAGAACCCTGCAGATGTTGGATGCTGTCTATCATGGTGCACTAAGATTCATAACTGGCTGTGATTATCGTACCCACCACTGCACCCTGTATTCATTGGTTAACTGGTCATCATTAACTTCACGCAGACTCTCTCACTGGTACATTTTCATCTTTAAATCACTTCTTGGTCTGCTGCCTTCATACATCTCCTCCTACATGTCTCTGCGTGAGTGCAGCTACGGAGTGCGCTCTCAGGACATTATTACCTGCAGTGTTCCCTCAGTGAGGACTGAACTTGGCAAAAGGGCCTTCTCCTACTCCGCTCCTGTTTCCTGGAATATCTTACAAAAAGATTTGAAGCTCTCGACCTTGACCTCTCTAAGTGTCTTTAAGAATCTGTTGGACTCCTGGCAGGGTCCAATGCAGACATGTTCCTGTTTTTAGTTTTCTACATTTGTCTTGGTATCTAGCTGTTTTTTTTTTTTTTGTTTGTTTTTTTGTTTTGTTACCTTTTTCCTTTTAGCCATCCTATTTGTTAAAAAAAAAAAAAAAAAAAAAAAAAAAACTGTAGTATGAGTTTTTATAACTGCTTATTGTTGTTGCTGTTGTCCATTGTTGTCATCTTTCTTTGTTGAAATCAGGTCTCTCTTGTAAATGAGTCCTCGAGGCTCAATGGGATTTACCTGTATAATTGATACTTTATTAAAAATTTTCAGGGGGAGGACCCCCAGACCTCCCCATCAGTGTGTAACCCCAAATACACATTATAAATGCTTCTGACACCAGTGGCCAACACGTTACTAAACAAGTACACATGTGGTGTCATGTGGTGTTCAAAGTATGTTCAACTTAATTCAGTCTTGATGATTTGTGTCAATGAACATTTGGAGTTTTATACATAAAAATACACTTGATAGTTAGAATTTTAAGTATATTTACTGTATATTATGATAATTTATTCAGTATTTTGCCAGATTATGGTGATTCTGGGGTCGTGATGATGGGACCCTTGAAGATTGTTGCCCAGGGTACAGCGAAGTGTTAATCTGGCCCTGCTGGTGAGTAAAATTTTGCAGTAGCTGCTGTGCAGTACATATATGTATGTTTTTTTCAATTATATAGGTTTAAGAGATTAGAACATTGCAAGAGTGTGGGGAGGGGTTATAAAGCCTTAAAATATTTATAAATACTAAAATAAATATAGCGTTCCTACTTGGCAGTTTTTCACCTATCGCAGGGGGAGGGGGTGGAACGTAACCCCTGCGATCATCGAGGGACTACTGTAAAACATATTAACACAAGTAGTTCACATCACTACGATTATATTCATCCTCTGGCTGAGCAGTTGCTCATGAAGATCTTTCTATTTTTGCTGCAGCAGCAGAGCAGTTCAACAAAATATGGCTAGTTAAAGAAAGGGATATTTGTTTGGCTGTCAACAACCACAAACAAAATGTAAAAATGCAATAACAATATGCATTTTCATAGCTATATTCACCCAATTATAATTTTCTATACCCGATTGGTGCTGTAGAAGGTGAAGGGTATAAATGTGCATAAGTACATGCAGGGTTGAATGCAAGTGGGAAAATGTGTGCATGTGTACAAAATGAATACTATACCTTACTAGCACATAACTGAAACCACTGTGTCGAGCAGATTGTAAGATGAATACATGAGGTGTGGATTTGACTTGGCAGAAGATGAAACCAGCCCCTCGTTAAAATGTATTAAATTGAAGATTTGAAACAGAAATATAGATTCTGTCCAGTTTAGGTTTTGAAGATGATCAACGTCCTCATATTAGCTTGGCTGATCCACAGCAGCATCCATCATGGCTTTCAGTCAGGGCCAAATCTGGCCCAAACAAGTTCAATCGAAACAGCGTAACTTAAACTCTCACTCTTTGTGATCACCATCTTTTTCTTCCTCTGAGTTGTACTTCTCAGAGGAAACGTCTGACAGACTCAACGAAAAAGCTTCAGAATCAGCGTTCGAATGTGTTGATATGCACTCGTTGGCCATAGTGTGGATCAGGGAGAAACTCACAACATGGTATATTGTCAGCAACTTAATTATTCACAATGCATATTATCCACTTTTTTCCATGTATGTTTTGAAAACTTGGTATTTTTGTGAATTCCAGCTGTGAAAATCCATACTTCACCACTCTGTTGTGATTTTATTATCATTGTGCAGTTGCTAGTTTAAATGAATATACCTGTGAACAGTATATTTACGGATGATGTCATTTTGTTGCAAACGATAACCGTTTCAAACTTTCCCTGAACTTAAAATAAAAACACTTTTGTGCATTGTCAAGCTTTTCTTAAACATAAGACCAGAAATAAGCACTTACCTCCTTCGTGTTGTCACTTGCCAGTGCATGGGCCAGGTGAGCACTGAAGGTACTCTTCCCCACTCCTCCTTTTCCTGACAACACCAGGATCTTGTGTTTGACCGCTGACAGTTTAGCACCAATTTCTGCAATAGCTGAGATGAGAGAGGAAGAGGATATGAAGGATGAGTACTTTGAGGTCCATTACATGCATTTGTGTTGTGATGGTCAGGTTTTACCAGGGTCCGGGGCCTTTGTGGCTCCAGATGCACACAGCTGCTGGTTGGGGCAGCCCTGACATGACGCAGACTTTCCTGCTTGCTCACTTGCGGTACCCGGGCAGTCTACAATGATAACGTGCACATTCAGAGTCCATGTTAGTAAGATTCTGAACTCTATAATAAACCCAACTCCATGGGTAAAAAGTATCTTTGTCACCACTGACATTTCAGGATAAATAATAAATTATTTTGAATCAGTATTGTAATAATTGCATTTCAAGTCAAGTATTAGCCTAGTTACTTTTTCTAAATATAAACAGAGAGACAGAAAGTTACACAGAGGTCCCAGAAAATTAGTTTTAAGTTATATTATTAACATGCCAATAAAAATACAATTCGTATCTCATTTAAAGAACACGCAAAAACGCAAAACAACAACAACAACAACAACAACAACAACAACAACAACAACAACAACAACAACAACAACAACAACAACAACAACAACAGATTGTGAATGTTGAGGTGTCACGGCATGACTCAGCAGTTTTTTAGCGAGTAGTGCAGCGTTTCACCGTAATAACATCCAGCTTTTTTTCAGTTGTTCACTATTCAGACTCTCTCAAAAACTAATTCATGAACATTTTTATTTTACTGCTGCATTCAAGCATTTTTCTCCACTAATTTTATCTAAAAGATCCAAACAGTGCTAGGACTGTGCGTTTTTGTTAGCTGTTTGTTACAATCGGTAGTTTTTTGTTTTTTTTTTGTTGAAGAGACGATCTTAAATGACCCGTCTCGTTCATGTTTGTTCCATAGCATCATTAATGACAGCTACTGCGACCCTTGTTTACAAATTCACGACGAATTCCGAGCAGACACTAGAGAAGCAAAATGGCGCCACTTGTCTGAAAGTCACAAAAATGAAACTAGAAGGAAGTAAAATGCTTGGCAGGCTAAATACAGAGCTAGAAATACATTTTCCAGGCAGCAAACCCTTAAAAATATAACTTTTAAAACTCACGTTCCGGGACATTTTCTGGTACGTCAGCCATCTTTGTTCGACAGGTGTCTCGGTAAAATATTCCCCTCCAAAGGTTCCGGGATCAACTTCCGTTTCCAATATTTCACAGTTAGGACTGTCACTAAACAGCTCAAACTATAATTTTTATAAATACTAAGCTGCTACAAGGCTAAAGCCAGAACATTTTAGAGTTGTAGAATTCAATGTTTTTAGTAGAAACAAATGGTTGTGTAACAACAAAGTCCATGCTCAATAATCCAGGTATACAATCCAACATTTTTCAGTCAGGTCATCTGGTTATGTACCTTTTCAAAAAGTTATTTTTCTTGATATTTAAAATATAAAAAAAAATAGCCTACATTGGTATTAGCACACTTTTCATAAAGCCACAATATGTATTAATGTGTTAAACTGCAACGTTTTACAGGAACACAGGAAAAAAAATCAGAATACATTTTTTAATCTCCACAGTTTATTAAATTTTTAAATACAAATGTATTAAAATGTAAGCAAATATTTCTTGTTATTGATTTTTGCAGCATTTTTTGCACCCAAACCTGAACTAGCGGTTTAAAGTTATGGTAGTTCGTTTACAGTTTTGTGATAATTAAAGTTTCTGCTAAGGGGTGCTGCTGATGCTGTTATACCTTGAAAATTTGTTAAAACTAAAACAGTTTAGGAATGAGAAAAATAGGTAGGCTATTTACTGTACAAATTTAGACTTTTATTGACAAATTAAAATATTTGATAGTCAACGAGTAGCTCTTTAGCAGGTGTGTTTTAGAAACAATATATCAAAATCAATGTTTCCCTGAAAACTAGAATTAATTAATATCAGTTTATTTTCAAACTTGTAAGGAAGACATTTACTAAGTGTCATTTTGTTTGTCTGTTTGTGCAATTTATTATTGAATCGTGATTACTGTTATCTTGATCTACAATTGCATATGTCTGAGTTTGTCTGTTAGTAAAATATCTCATGAATAAGTGACTGGATTGTTAAAATTCTCAGAATTGTATCTACAACAAATTGATTTTTGGAGTCAAGCTGATTTAAGATGGCAACAATTCAGCAAACTTTAACTCATTTAATTTTACATAAACTATATTTAAATGTGGTGTGGAAGCTGAGAGTCATCCCATTCTCATGCTCCGAGTGCTACCAGCTCTTTATTAGATCTTTATTTAAAACCTTCTTTTGTAAAGTGGCAAGCAGTATGCATCCCTTCAAGAAACACTAATTTAATTGAATTATGCTTTGACTTTTATAAAAAAAAAACTAAAAAAATTAACAATGACATGTTTTATTTGAGGGCAGCACGGTGGCGCAACTGGTAGAGCTGCTGCCTCTCAGCGAGCAGGTCCCTGGTTCAAACCCCGGTCCAGGGGCCTTCTGGGTGGAGTTTGCATGTTCTCTCCGTGCATGCGTGGGTTTTCTCCGGGTACTCCGGTTTCCTCCCACAGACCAAAAACATGCATGTTAGGCTGATTGGTAACTCTAAATTGTCCCTAGGTGTGAGTGAGAGAGTGAATGGTTGTTTGTCTCGTTTGTCTCTATGTGGTCCTGTGATGGACTTGCGACCCGTCCAGGGTGTACCCCGCCCCTCGCACAGTGATTGCTGGACATGGGCACCAGCGACCCCCGTGACCCAAAATGGAATACATGGGTAAAGAAAATGGATGGATGGATGGATGTTTTATTTGTGTAAACAGTTCAAACAAATGAAAACATTTTCAAAACATCTGATTTGTTAACTTGCAGGACCTTGCAGTGAAAGCTGGGTTTGTAATCAGAGAATAAGAGAGATGTGATTCTGTACATTATGTTCATGTGCACTAACATATTGTGATGACAAAAGGATGCTCATTACCATGAATTCAATACCATGAATGTGCGGTTTTATAAATCTTTGAGTAATTGTTTTACATAGCATGTCTTTTTTATGACAACAATTATACTATGGCACAAAATACTGTAATCCATTTCACAAAAAACTCTGAAAAATACTAATTTATTATAAAGGCAAAAATCCCTGTTCCCATTTTTCTTATTGGTGTTTGTGAAAGTCATAGTTTGAAAAAATGTAGTGGTTTTGTGTTTTTTTTTTAATTAATTTCAATTCAATTCAAAAATACTTTATTAATCCCAGAGGGAAATTAAATAAATTAAAATTAAAATGCGTTTTGTGGAGATTTTAGCACATTATAGTTTTTATATAGGCCTACTTTGCCTTCACTAAAATTGTTATGTGTTTTTGCAGTGGCATATTTTTTCGTTTCTGCCTTTCAGTCACAGCTCTGGGTTTAAGCATTATTACCTCTTAAAAGTCGCGAGACGGTAAACCGTTGTCATAGCAACATGAAACCCGCGCACTAGCCAGTCTTGTAGTCTCAACGGCAAAACGTTAAATTAAGCGACGTAACTCGCCTTGAATCTTGGTAATGTTATTTAATATTTAGTCGAAAATAATGGTACACGACGATTTGCGTGTGGAATGGATCCGACAGAAGGTAACTGCGCTTTTTAATTTGGCTAAAAAGTATCCTAAGTGCTTCGACGAACTTCTCAGCCGGGACGATGGAAGAGAAGAGGAGAAAATTATCCGTTTTTTGAACGTTATCTCTGAGGAGGACTCCCATTCAAGTCTTTTGTTTTTCAAAACAATTAGAGAGGAAGAAACGGAAGTTGAAGTTCCTCTCAGTAAGCGTAAGTGTTGTTCTGTGCTCGCTGAACGTATCATAAGTTGGCCTTGACTTTCATACAGTTACTAATGCGCATGCTCGAAGTCAGCAACATTTTAGCAATGCATTGTGGTCTAGATATATTTATGCCTACTTCCGGTTTGTTGATATACATTAGGTTCATATTTATGTTTTAGCTTGGCTGCTATGTAATCATTCTTATATTCATTTCGCTATCACAAAGCAAAAGATCAAATAAAACTGATTTCTTATTACATCTGAATATAAATATCAATAAAAGCAGGTGCACATGGGCCAAAGCCTAGAGTTGACTGCAGACCTTTAATACTGGAAATAGCTATAAAATATTTAGGGATGTTGCCAGATTCTATGGTGACAAAATTAATTAATTAATTAAATCATGAAATACGTAATTTAATTGTGTATTTAATAATTTAATTGTGTATTTAATGATTTAATGATGTATTTAATGATTAAATGATACATTTCATTATTATGTACTTATTTATTAAATTTTGTCACATTCCGTCCTCCATAAGATTCTACACATGCGCATTGGTAATCACAAATAATTGGGTAGATTTTCAATTTGAGCAATGCTAGTGCAAATTTTCAAGTAATAATAAAAGTAATATTAAAAGTAATAACAAAAGTATCTATAACTTTAGCGCAAGCATATGGATCGTCGTTAGATCCTGAGCAGAAGTCTGAAACAGAGCTCAACTCCGTCAAAGTGACACATGAGGTATGTAAGAACAATCTGTGACTGTTCAAAAATTATTTACAAATGTTTCTTGTAAAGAAAAAGATTATAAAAAAAAAGTCACCCGCAATTCTTTTTTGTGTTTTCAGATAAGTCAAATTAAAGTGGTGTACCACGCTGAGCTTCATATCTCAGTAAACCAATACCCAGAGAGATTTGTGAAATCCCGGGCCATCTACTTTCTCAGAAACACCAAAGGTGAGGTGACTGTACTATTACAATAAAACATGCTCAAGCCCATTTTAATAACAGAGTCAGTGAAATCTTCTTATTTGTGTTTTGAACAGAGACTGTTGTTCAACCACTGGACATGAAAGAGGCCCATGTCATAATGCCTAGGCTTTTTAACCTTGGCCTGCAGAGTGGAAACCCCCTTCAGGCGCTGCAGAACAAACTAGTCCACGTAAGTTAAATGAAAAATATATTATTGTTATCAAACCAGCAACATTTATCTCTAACAGTGCTCAAACAGAATATTTAAATAGTTTTTTAAACATCTAATTTTCTGGATATAGAATGTATTATGTATTTTTTTTCCACTGTATGTCTTCTCAGGCCTATATACCCATGTTCACTGCCCAGCACATGGCAGCAACAGGAGCTGACAGTCACCACAAGAAGAGATCTCCTCAGGAAAAGATCAACAAAGACAGTAAAAAGGAAAAGCAGAAAAAGCCATGGGGGCAGGTTATGATTCGCGATGAGTTGCTAAACAGGACACACAAATTTTTGGGAGTGGTCAACGCAACTATTCATCAGCTTCAATTAGAAGGTTTGTTGTATTTAACACAACAAAGGAGAGTTGAGTATGAATTCAGTGAATTAAATTTGTTGCTGATCAAAGTTTTCAAACACAAAGAGGAATTTATTTCAATTCAGAAAAGCAGTAAAATTGCTTTCCAAACTTTCTTTTTTACTTTTGGTTTTAAGCACATCTGTATTGTGAAATGTTTAAGCACATCTGTATTGTGAAATGTTTAGTGTGCTTTGGGATTTGTAACTGGAGGGAGACTTGACTACAGTGATTTTCAAGCCACTTTTATAATAAGGATTTCAGTTTAAATTCAGTGTGTTGATTCTAGATGAGATTGTACTTCAAATCCCTGATCTGGACCTGAAGCCAAAGGTGGATGTGCTGCTTAATAATCCTGAAACGTTGGAGAAGTTGGAGCAGTGTGTGATGAACTGGCAGACTCAGATTACTATAGTCATTGAGGAACAACAAAGCAAAAAGCCACAGGTTTGGATCAATTCCTCACTTTGTAGCTTGAAACAAAATAGATTATCTCAGGGACTTGAGCACAGGTTAATCCTTCACACATAATAATAATAGTAATCATTTTATTTAAAAATCGCCTTTCAGGACACCCAAGGACACTTTAAAATAAGAAACGTATCAGAAAGATTGTGTAAAAACAAACAACAAGCACAGTACAAAGATCAACAGGAATAAATTGAAATAAAAAATACGTAAAGAATATAAAATATATACAACAAAGTTAAGGATAAGCGAGTCTAAAGTGATGTGTTTTCAGAGCAGTCTTGAATAGAGAAAGAGAGTTGGTGTTTCGTAAGTCAGGGGGTAGAGAGTTCCAGAGATGAGGGGCAGAGCAGGTGAAGGCCCTGCTCCTCGTGGTGGACAGGCGGGCAGAGGGTACATGGAGGTGCAGTGAAGAGAAGGATCTGAGAGAGCGAGAGGGGATGGAGATGTGTAAGAGGTCAGATAGGTACGGAGGGGCAAGGTTGTGGATTTGAAAGTGAGAAGAAGAATTTTGAAGACGATGCGTGATTTAACTGGGAGCCAGTGGAGTTGCTGCAGGACAGGAGTGATGTGGTTATAGGAGAAGGTTTGAGTGATGACACAGGTAGCTGAGTTCTGGACCATCTGTAGCTTCTGAAGAGATTTGTTGGGGAGGCCATAAAGAAGGGAGTTGCAGTAGTCAATCTGGGAAGTCACAAGACTGTGCACAAGAATGGCTGTGGAGCGGGGTGTGAGAGAAGGGCGGAGACGGTTAATATTTCGGAGATGGAAATGGGCAGACTGAGTAACATTGTTGATGTGTGAAGTGAAGGAGAGAATGGTGTCGAAGATGACACCAAGACTCTTGACCTGAGGCGAGGGGGATAGCAGAGAGTTGTTAAGATGTTCAGATTTTGAAATAGAGTTTTTGGTACTGACAAGAATGATTTCTGTTTTGTCACTGTAGGAAATTGTTAGAAAACCAATGATTTAGTTCATTGAGACAGTCGGTGAGGATGGAGGGTGGGTTGTGTGGAGTTTGGTTTTGTTGACAAGTAGAGCTGAGTGTCATCAGCATAACAGTGGAAATGGACACCAAATTTGCGGAAGATGTGACCTAGAAGAAGGAGGTAAATGATGAAGAGGAGGGGTCAGAGGACAGAGCCTTGGGGGACACCCATGGAGATGGGAGAAGACTGGGAATGAAATAATTTAAGCTGAATGAATTGAGTGCGGTCAGAAAGATAAGATTTGAACCAGTCTAATGGAGTACCTGAGATGCCAGTGGAGGTTAGTCTGTTGAGGAAGATAGAATGACAGATTGTGTCGAAAGCAGAACTTAAATCAAGTAGAATGAGGATAGACAGAAGACCAGAGTCAGCAACAAGAAGAAGGTCATTAGTTATTTTTATTAGAGCTGTTTTGGTACTATGGTGGGGGCGAAAACCAGATTGAAACTCTTCATAAATGTTATTGTTGGATAGGTGAGAGTGAAGTTGACTAGCAACGACTTTTTCAAGAACCTTGGAAATAAAGGGCAGGGACCATCTTAAATATTACAAAAATCATGTCCATTGAATATGTTTGATAGGAGTGGGCATGGAAACATATTGTGCAATCTAGTGACCAATCTGAAACTTTCACTTCTCATTTTTCTCCAGGCACCTGGGCCAATGGCAGAGATCGAACTTTGGCAGGAGCGTGCTTCTGTTTTCAGCACCCTGCTTGATCAGCTCAAAGAGTCTGTGGTTGAGAAGATCTTGGAAGTGATGACCAAAACAAATGCAGGCATTGTTCACACCCTCAATGGAACTATTGCTGAATTAACTAAATACCATTTAGAGTCAGATGAAATTGCACGCTTACTTAAGACATTGGAAAGGCACTTTATGGTAAGCTATGTTTTTCTAAAAGGCTTTTTGCTGTTGATCCTTTACACTGGCTGTCTTTGTTTGTATGAATAAGCTGACAAGTCTCCATAAAGTGCATTTCTGTCACAGTATCCTCTTCACCTCTGTCACTGTTACTGTTGTCTTTTATAGAATCTGGCCACTGGAGCAAATTTTGCCATCATGCTGGAGACCATCCCTCATATGATGGAGAGCTTGCAGCTCGTGTGGATGTTCTCTTGCCACTACAACTCAGATGAGCGTATGGTGCCTCTAATGGAGCGCATTGCCTGGCAGCTGTGTGAAAGAGTGGCTCAAGGGATAGATGTCCACAAGCTATTCAAGTATGTGTGGTTGTGCTTTAATTTTAGGAATCAAACCAATACAATTTGTTATTATGTGATGTTAATATTAGTCAGTGGTTTGTTAAGATTCTAATTTACTCTTTAAGTTAAATTCAAAATGTTGTATCTTGAACAGGGAAAATAGGGAAGAGGCCAAATCCCTGGTGTTCGAGGCTAAGCAGGCTCTTGAGCAGTGGAAGTTGTCCTACTTTGAGATACGTGCAGAATTAGAAAATTTAGGCAGAGCTCCTCGCTGGGAGTTTGATTGTAAAAGACTGTTTGAGAGGAGTGATTACATGGCTTCTGTCTGCCAGGATCTATGCACCGTGTTTCAGGTTGGTGCACTTTATGCAACTCTACCACTCACAGAAAAAATCTTGACTACTCGTACAGTAATTACATTTTTAAATGTATATTTGATAGAGGTCACTTGGGTTTGTGTTTTTCAGGTGCAGGAGGAACTCAACAACATTTTAGGCCCAGAGCTGAAAGGTACGAAAGACCTGAATGAAGTGGTAAACAAAGTGGATGGTCTGGTTTTACCCATTCAGGAGGTCAGCTTTAATCCATTCAGCATCTTAAAAAAGACTAATTGGAGAATGATCCTCCAAGATTTCAACACAAACATGAAGGTTGGTTTGGGATAATATATGAACTGTATCAGTTCATATCTAAATATCATTTTGTCTTATTGCAGTTTTTTTAACATTTATTTGCTTAAGCTGATACATTTTTCGTGTCTTTTAGGCTGTTGAGGGAGAGATAATTGATTTTATCGACCTGTCTTTTAACAAACTGCATTCCTTGGCTGCTACCTTTGAAATGCTACAGAAATTAAAACAAATCCCCACTACACAGACCATCAACAATCATTTGATGACAAAGTTAAATGACGTCCTTATCAAGTACTGCAGAGAGGTATTGTATTATCATAATCTGGAACAGCAGCAGATTGCCTTAAGTAATGTTTAAAAAAATTGTTAAGTTTTCATCATGACTTGCACCTTAACCCAGTTGACAAACTTCGTAGCAATACTGTAATTGAACTGAATCAAATAATCACAGTTGATTAATCCACAATATCTCTTAAAATTGCATTCATTATTGAACAGTATGTTTAATTTCCCTCTGAGATTAAAAAGTACTTTTGAATTTGAAATAAAATAAGTTTTGGTTTATTCAATTTAGCTGCTTTACCACTTATTGTAAGGGCTTTATAATAGTCTGCAGCAAGTAAAGGTCTTCTTCTGCTACAGGTTGACAGCATCAAGGAGATCTTTGAAAAGCAGAAAGACAAACCACCTCTTAAGACCGAGCCTCCTGTGGCAGGATCAATCAGATGGGCCCAGACTCTTTTTTACAACATTAAACAACCCCTCCTTCCCTTCCTGAAAATGCCTGAGTTGCAAGAGAATAAACAAAGTGAAAAGGTTAGTTATTTCATGGGTCTTGTATAAATTAATACATCAAATTAAAACTGTTCAAATGCCAACTTAATACTGGAAGCCTTTTATAACTCATTGTTTTCTGCTCAGGCAAAGGAGAAGTATGTGGAATTGGCAGTGCAGATTAAGAATTATCAGGCAACGAAGTATGAGTGCTGGCTGAAAGAGGCAGAAAACACGTTGTCACTACTAATGAAAAAACCTCTGTTACTTATTAAAGAAAACCAAGAAATGGTATTAATCAATCACTATTACTTTCATAAAGTTATCTTTATATTGTTTTGCTAAATATTCACTCATTGGCCATTTTTTAAGTACACCTGTTGAACTGCTCGTTAACACAGCTAATCAGTCAATCACTTGGCAACAAATCAGTGCCTCAGGCATTGAGACATTGGAAATGTTCAAGACGACTTGTTGAGTTTTCAAATCAAGCATCAAAATGAGAAAGTGAATTGAACTTGACTTTGAATGGGGTCCGAGTATTTAAGAAGCTGCTGATCTACTGGTATTTTTTACACACAACCATCTCTAGGGTTTGCAAAGACCATCAGAGAAACAATCAATTATTTTTTTTATTGTCTAATTTTGGAAAGCTTGTGTGAACTGTCACCTCAGTTTCTGGTTCTAGCTGACAGGACTGGCACTTGGTGCGGTCTTCTGCTGCTGTAGCAATCTGCTTCAAGGTTGGCTGTGTGTTCAGGTAGAGTATTCTGCAGAAATTGGTTTGTAATGAGTGGTTATTTGAGCTACTCTTGCATTTCTGTCATCTCAGACAAGTTTAATCACTCTCATCTGACCTCTGGCATTAACAAGGCTTTTTCTTCACCCAACTGCTACTCACTGGATATTTTTGAACCCTAGAGAAGCTTGTGTGTAAAAATCCTAGTAGAGTAGTTTTTAAAATGACACATCAACCCATATGGCGCTTTCAACCACGCCACATTCAAAGCCACTTAAATCCCATTTCTTCTCCATTCTAATGCTCTACTTGAACTTTAGAATGTCGTCTGCACTAATTCTACATGACTAAAGGCATTGAGTTGCTGCCTTGTAATGGACTGATTAGCTGCGTGTGTTAATGATCAAGCGTGCCAAATAAAGATGCCAGTGTGTATACAAAGCAACGCTTTATCTCTTCAATAACCAGCAAAAGCAATAAAAAAGCTTATTTCAAAGTTTTCAAATTTTGTTTTTTCAAGGATGTGTCAATACCTGAAGGAAGCCAAAAAAATGTGCGATACGTTGTGAACTTTTCTCCAGAAATCACAGAAATAATTTCTGAGACAAACTATCTTGTTTTACTGGACTACACTGTTCCCCAACTGATTCAACATGTAGCTCTACAAGAAGACCAACTCCTCAGGTAATTACATTCACTAAAGCAGAATATATGCCAAATGTTAAACTCACTAATTGGTGTCTTTTTCTTCATCTGTATGGTTGTAGGTATGTAGATGCTCTGAAAATACTTGTCAGTCGTTATCACTCTGTGATGGACAGCCTGAGTGAGGTGCATCTTGATATGCTGGCACCGCATATAGAAAGAGTCAAAAACGAGATCAAGTTTGGACTCAAAACACTCAGCTGGGGCTCCTTAGGTATTTACATACCTATATAAGTAAAAATATCTGGAATTTATCTACAATTGTACACTTTTAAGATTATTGTTGAAACTTGTGGCGTGTGCTTGGTTTTAGGGATACCTGACTTCATCAATCGAGGTGTCAGTGCTGTCTCTACATTTGAGTCTGTGGTCAATAAGATTCACACAATCGAAAGGGAAATTGATTCCAAGTTACAGTCAATGCTGATGACCAATCTACTAAAATTTCCAGTATCTGATAATTCAAGTGACTTACCAGGTAGAACTATTAGAAAGATCTATTACTAGTTGGAAGAAAAACAAATTGAGAATAAATCATTAATTTCTTCTTTTAAGGTGTCAGGGGTTTCTGTGCACACATTGAGGAAGAGCAGGCCAAGACTTTGGATTTTCTTATGAAAAAATATGCTGACATAAGTTGCTTAATCATAAAAACGGAAAATTTGACCTTGGAAACCAGCAGTGGTAAAGCCAAGTGCATGGCATCGTACTACGCATACTGGGAACGCAAAGTGTTTGATTCCCTTCTAAAGATGGTGCAGAGGTAATCACATTATTACTTTTTAATTTGCAGCCTGGTATTTTTGAGATATAGCAACCAGTTTTTGAACTATTGTAACATCTCTTGCTGGCACTTTAAGGAGCATTCAGACGTTCAACATGGCACTGATGGGAAGTACTGCTCTTTTCCAAATTGATGCCATTTTGTCTGCCCCCAAGATTGTGTTACAGCCCCAAAGTAAACAGATATACTGGCTGATCATGCAGTGCATTAAAAACTGTATCGATAGTACCAAGGTGGGGTTATCACTATTATTATTATTATTATTATTGTAAAATTATTTATAAAGTATTTGTATCTAGCACTAAATGATAAGTTTATCACTTCTGTGTTAAGCACTTTCCACGTTGGATGCATGGGACATGCATCGAATGCCCACCACAACATGTAGATGGTGAAGAGGAGTTGGTGACATTCACGTTCTTCAGTGATGTATGGCAGCATCCTCAGATAAATGAAAGTGCATCGGCAGTGTCCAAAAACATCCAGCAGCTGCTGCTTTCTGTGGATCAGTACCTTATCTACTGGAAACGTTATCGGTCTCTTTGGAGAATGAACAAAACCATTGTCAATGAAAAATTTGCATCAAAAAATCCATCCTATGTTTTGTATGACGACAAGCTACAGTTCTTTGCTAATATTAAACAGCAGGTGATGCAAGAGCCTCTGAGCAGGACGGAGCACTGTATCCATCTAAACTTGGAGCCACTGGTTAACACAGTGTGGGAAATAACGGAGTCCTGGATCACTTCACTTGGTAGCCTGCTCAAGAAGCCTGCCAGAGAGAATCTCTTCAACTTGAAAGATGAACTCATGGTACTGAACCATGCAACACATGCAAATGTTTCCATTGTAAATATTTTTGTGTTTTTGTTTGTAATTTGCATTTATTCTACAAAACAGCAACTCTCGAAGAAACTGAAGCAGAACCCGGACACCTTTGAGGAGCTAAAGTCTGTCCTTGGAACTATTTCAGACATCAGGAACATGTCTGTCGACGTGGAGTTCAGATTCATTGACATCCAGGAAAGATACAGAGTCCTGGCCATGTACAAATTGGAGGTACTGTGTTAAATGCTAAGCTGTTGCACAGAAATTTGCATTTTCTGCCTTGGTTAACCTACTGTCCTTTATGTGCTCTAGGTTGGAGAGGATGAAAAGGAGTTGGTGGCTACTATTGGACAGGTGTGGAGTGACCTGTTCGCAGAATCTAGACAAGTGGATCAAAGTCTGAGAGATATCAAGATATCATTTACTGTGGTAGAACATGACACCCCCCCCCCCCCCCCACACACACACACACACAATGTTTAAATGAAAGAAATATATTTCAGAAATGCAACTATATAGACCCTACACCTTTCTTGTTATTGTTTTTCAAAGATTACAAAAGAGACGATTGAAGACTTTAAGCAAGATTTGTCCATCTTTGTTGAAAGTTTCAACATGCATGGTCCTGGAGCTGTGGGTGAAGATTTAGATAAAGGTGCTTGAATCAGGCCTGTATTTTATTACATACTGTAGTGTTAAACGTGGAAATGTTAAATTACTTCTTTTTTTTCAGGGCTAATCATTATGGGAAAGTATGAGGCAGACCTTGCCAAGATGGTGGCCCAACAACAGGAGCTCACCAATGCTGAGAAGTTGTTAGAGATGCCTTTCACTTCATACTCAGAGGTTGTCAAGATTCAGAAAGACATGAGTGGATTAAGACAAATTTATGATATTTATAAAGCTCAGAAGGTGGGAAAATTGTTGCTGTTGCTGAATGTGTACATTTTCTTGTCTGTGCACGTTACCTGTTCTCGTTGAGTTTGTGAAGTTCATGAGTTTGTGTTTTTTTTATTTCAGAATGCAAAAGCAAAGTGGTCTCAGACCTTGTGGGTAGATTTGGACATCCAGATGCTGCAGGAGGGTATAGAAGGTTTCATCAAAAGTCTGAGGCAGCTGCCCAAAGATGTGAGGGCGTTACCCGTGGCTTTTTTTCTAGACGGGAGCATGAAAGAGTTCAGAGAATCTCTGCCTCTTCTGCTAGACCTGAAGAATGAGGCTCTCAGAGACAGGTTAGTCTGCAGATTAATAAACCAGGCATAAAAAACAAGACTCACATTTATGAAAAATGGCTAATCACAATTTATTAATAAATTTACATTATTTTAACAACAACAGAATATAATAAATAGATCTAACGAGGAAATGTTTGTGATCTTCCCAAATAAATTTAATGAAACGTATTTTTTTACTTCTAATATTTTACTTAACATTTTTTCAGGCACTGGAAGGAGCTAATGGAAAGGACTAACACCAGCTTTGAGATAAACCCTGATTACTTTACTCTGGAGAACATGTTTTCTATGGAGTTGCACAAATTTGCAAATGTCATTGGCGACATTGTCACATCAGCTGTAAAAGAGCTAAGCATTGAGAAGGCAAGCTTCCCTGTTTATTAACATTCATTTATTATGAAATATTATAAACTAGAGTAGAGTTGTGTTTAATTGTAGAGTCTTAGCATTCAAATTACACAATATTTACAAAGCATGTTAACTGCTTATGCATTTTTTATGTGCATGATTCCAGGGAGTGAAGGGGGTGGCTGAGACCTGGGAGAACATGAAATTCAGTATGCAGCCTTATTTTAAAGGCATCCAGGAACATGGTTTTATTCTGGGAGCAGTGGATGAGATCCTGCTGAACGTGGACAATGATATCATGAACTTACAGAGCATGGCGGGCAGTCGTTTTGTTGGACCTTTTTTTGGCGACATACAAAAGTTGGAAAAAGATTTGTCTCTCATCAGTGAGACCATAGAGGTCAGTGCAAGCTGTTAGATTTTTTATTAAACTTCAGATAATCCCCCAAACTGTTTGCTGACAAAATGCTTTTTGCATAGATTTGGTTGATGGTGCAACGAAAATGGATATACCTGGAAAGCATCTTCATTAGTGGGGACATTCGTTCTCAGTTGCCTAAAGAAGCTAAGAAGTTTGATAACATTGACAAGAAGTTTAAAGAAGTGAGTTGTCTTTTAATACGGTTCCAATAAAAGTAAAAATGTATTTTTGTTTTACTTTTCCAACGAATACATTTTTTTGTTGGTGTGTAGATAATATCTGACACTGTAAGAAGTCCAAATATTAAGCGAAGTTGCCTGGTTCGTAACCGGCTAGCAGACCTGCAGGCCTTGAGTATTGGTTTAGAGAGGTGCCAGAAGAGTCTTAATGATTACCTGGACTCCAAACGAAATGCATTCCCTCGCTTCTTCTTTATCTCTGATGATGAACTTCTCAGCATTCTGGGGAGCAGTGACCCTACCTGTGTCCAGGAACACATGATCAAGGTATCAGACCACTGTAAAAATAAATAATTAAAATATATACATATATATGTGAATTATTTCTTTGAATTCACCATGTGTGTGAAATACTTTGCCATTTTTTTCTTTTTGTTGCACTAGATGTATGACAACATAGCATCTCTTAGATTTGATATGGAAACCAGTGGGGAGACAGTAGTTAGAGCTATGATGTCTGCTGAGGGTGAGGTGATGGAATTTAGGAACCCTGTCCCAGTGGAAGGAAGGGTGGAAGAGTGGATGATGGGAGTACTAGAGGAGATGAGGAGGACTAATAGGCTTATCACCAAGGAGGCAATCTTCTACTACTGTGATAAAATGAGTAGGTATGTGTCAAACAGAAAGACAGCTTCATTGGTCTCGGTGGTATCTGTGATCAAATAGACCACATTAAATTAGTCCCTTCTATGTTTTTCAGAGTGGACTGGATACTGCTGTATCAGGGCATGGTAGTACTGGCTGCAAATCAAGTGTGGTGGACCTGGGAGGTGGAAGATGTCTTCAAAAAGGTGAAGAAAGGAGAAAAGCATGCACTTAAGAACTATGCTGAGAAGATTCATCTCCAGATTGATGAACTAGTTACACGCATTACTCAACCTTTGAAGAAAAATGACAGGCGGAAAATAAACACAGTGCTTATCATTGATGTCCATGCAAGAGACATTGTGGACAACTTTGTTGACAACAGGTGAACTAAGCCTTTTACAAATTTTGCTTTTAGTCTTCAGGACAGAAAGGTGTGCATATGCGATAAACCTTTTGATCTTTCCCCAGTATAACGGATGCACAAGAGTTTGAATGGGAAAGCCAGCTAAGATTCTACTGGGTGAAAGAACATGACAACCTGTTTGTGCGGCAGTGCAGCGCTTCATTCTCTTACGGTTATGAATATATGGGACTGAATGGTCGCTTGGTTATAACCCCATTGACAGACCGGATCTACTTGACCCTTACACAGGTCAAATAGTTTTTAATTATCTAAACAGACACTTTAGACTGGTATGTCCATTTGTTTTGTAACGTTATGAATATTGGCAAATTTGTGAAACAGGCCCTCTCTATGTATTTGGGCGGAGCTCCTGCTGGACCAGCTGGTACAGGGAAGACAGAGTCCACCAAAGATCTGGCTAAGGCTTTAGGTCTGCTGTGTGTGGTTACAAATTGTGGTGAGGGCATGGACTACATGGTAAGATGCATCAACTATTAAACGTTTTGTGATTCCTTCTTGCTGACAAAAATTTACATTTATCATTTCTCAGTAGTGTTTCTTTTATTCTTTTTCTCCTTGTTCAGGCTGTTGGCAAGATCTTCTCTGGCCTTGCCCAGTGTGGAGCTTGGGGCTGCTTTGATGAGTTCAATCGAATTGATGCCTCAGTGTTGTCAGTTATTTCTTCACAAATGCAGACCATTCGCAACGCTCTCATTTTACACCTAAAAAGGTTTCAGGTAAATTTGTTGGACAATATTTATGTAGCATATGAAATAGATGCTTTATATAATAAGTGTTTTTGTGCTTTCAAGGACATATGGCTTACCATGTAGGGAGTTTTAATCACCATTTTATTGCAACAGAGTTTTTGTTTGATAACTTCTTTTTCATAACACTTCAGTTTGAAGGGCAAGAGATCAACATGGATGACCGCATGGGCATTTTCATCACGATGAATCCTGGTTATGCAGGACGTACAGAGCTGCCAGAATCAGTCAAAGCTCTCTTCAGGCCTGTGGTGGTGATTGTGCCTGACCTTCAACAAATTTGTGAGATTATGCTCTTCTCAGAGGGCTTCCTAATGGCCAAGGTAGCACATGAGCACAAAACATGTTTAGTTTATAACATTACCACTTTTAAGTTTCTTTTTTTCCACTTGCTCTTGCCGAGATCGGATGCTTCTCCCATCCCCTCCCTCTCCACTTTGCTTTGCTGCTCTGTCTGTCTGTGAAACTGCTTGTGAGCCTCTCTTGCATATCCTCCGAACCATAATTATGGACTTGTTTTGATCAGTTGGTCCCTCAACTCAATTTACAACATTTCTTCAAAGAGAAGACAGGCTTTAGGTGAGCCGATTTGCCTTGTTGGCATGCATGCAGCTGGATATCTCATCGACTGGAAGACTTGATGATGTGTCTATCTCTGCTGCAATTAGTGGATTTTAAGGACGCATATTGGATTTACGATAACTGGTTCCTGCTTTTTGGATTCGGCTGGTTGCTGGTTTTATCTACACTCAAGGAAGTCGTCGGCAGCAAATTTGGACCCGATCACGCTGCTTGCCTTTATGATGGCTTGGTTCGTGTCTTGAGTACCTGGACTCAAATGCTTTGGGCAGAATGGATCAGATCTTGGGGATTTTACTCAGTCACGTTCCTTCGGTGTGGCCATGTAATATGGACATTTCAGAACCGAGTGGACCAACACAGACTCAAGGTAGATATCATTAAGTTCTGCCTGTCCCCAAAAACACTGTGTGTTTATCTGAATTTGGCTCCCTTGGTTGGCCTTGAAGGCCATCTTATCTGAATTCGCCTGGAGAACAGGTGATCTGATGCTCACCACCCCCTCCCTGAGGAATTTCCAACTGATAACCAGATGAAACCAGATGAATAAACTTGTGTCATCATTTCAGGACTCTTGGATTCTCATATATGTTATTCTTGGTCATTTCTCGACATACCTCGAGAATGTTTATGGATCTCACCTGAGGACATTGATTGATTATTTCATCCTTATCAGAACTCTTACAGTGACCTCGAGAGCATCTATGAACATGCTCACCGCTCTCGCTTCCCTCCTCTGCAGAATGTCTACGTCACTATGTTCTTATTTGTGCGAGGTGTTTTTTAATATCAGAGTTTTTTCTTCTCAGGCAGGAAAAAAAAGTCAGATAGGAATTTTTTCGCCTCCAATTCCAATTCCTACTTGTGTCCAGTTTATCACTTTTTTGTCTGTCCAAACAGGTCTCACTTGTAAATGAGTCTTTGCGGTTCAATGTGATTTATCTGTTTAAATAAAGGTTGAATGAAAAAAAAATGTAGGAAAAAATTGACCTAGGTTTCAGATAGATGATTTTTGATTCTGTTCAAATCATTATTTGTTTTTTGTTTTTTTGACTAATATTAATTTGAGGTGCTGGCAAAGAAGATGACTGTGCTGTATAAACTGGCCCGTGAGCAGCTGTCCAAGCAGTCCCACTATGACTTTGGCCTACGTGCTTTGAAGTCTGTCCTGGTGATGGCAGGAGAGTTAAAGAGAGGCTCTCCAGACCTCAATGAGGTAGTGAAGCACTTAGAAGATTGACAGCTGTTTAAAATAGCAGGAGTGTTCTACCTATAATATCACTGCAACATTAACACGCTTAGAAAAATATACTTTTTTGGACTAAATGTTTTCAATGTTTTAATAAACTGTAACTTTTATTGCTCTTTTACTTATCTATCATTTTGTTAAAATACGTTTACCAAAACTGCTTTAAATCACCCCACTTAGTCCTGTCTTTAAATAAATGGAATATATACAGAAGTACAAAAATGTGCCTGAAAATATACAGAAGGATGAAAGTGAAGTGAAAAATGGAAAAAAGCAATTTGTTTGACTTTCAACCTTGGAAAATGTTTTTTTCTTGAAAATGTTTGTGTTTATTTGATCAATTGTATATTTCTTCCTGTGACATCTTTCCTTTGAACAGGATGTAGTGTTGATGCGTGCGCTCAGAGACATGAATCTGCCAAAGTTTGTGTTTGATGACGTCCCTTTGTTCCTTGGACTCATCTCAGACCTTTTTCCTGGATTGGACTGCCCTCGTGTTCGCTATCCTGATTTCAATGATGCTGTGGAACAGATACTGCAAGAGAACAAATATATTCTTCTCTCTCACCAGGTGTGAAATAACTTTAATCTGTTAGTCTTTTTTTTATTTTTTTTTATCATTTACATAGTTAATGAAGGTCACTAGTAAAATATACCCCTAGCATATGAATGTCTTAAAATTGATTTCCCCTGTTTGAATGCTGCCTATGGTAGGTGGATAAAGTTGTGCAGATATATGAGACAATGATGACCAGACACACTACTATGATTGTTGGCCCAACAAGTGGAGGAAAATCAGTTGTCATCAACATATTATGTCAAGCACAGACCAGGTTAGAGTCAGTTTACTTCATGCATTTTTTTCACCTCTTGATCTTTAAAATGGTCATTAGTGACGTTCTTTCTTTCTCCTTATCAGACTGGGGATGCATACTAAGTTATATCCTCTGAACCCTAAAGCCATGAGTGTCGTTGAACTTTATGGAGTACTTGATCCAGATACTCGTGACTGGACTGATGGGATTTTATCCAACATCTTTCGTGATATCAACAAACCTACAGACAAAAAAGAGCGGAGGTAAAAAAAAAAAAAAAGTTGAAAATCAAAGACATACGTATGTGCACAATTTGAGAGGGATTTCCTTAAAATACTTTGCTTTCAAGGCATAATGTTATTGGTAATTTACAGGTATATTTTGTTTGATGGGGACGTGGATGCCCTTTGGGTGGAGAATATGAACTCTGTCATGGATGACAACAAGCTTCTCACTCTCGCCAATGGGGAACGGATCCGTTTACAGAGTCACTGTGCGCTGCTTTTTGAGGTTTGGGTTTTGAAATTGGTTTGAGCAGAATTCCTTTGCCTGAGCATTTCTGCAAAGCAACACTTAGTAAAAGTGGTGTAGTCTACATTTTTGTAGTGGGTATACTGTGCTCAGAAACCAAAATACACTGGCTAGTACAATGTAATCGTCAATTTATTTTTTGATTTTCAAGCATATTGAACATTTCCAAATTTCTCTGATGCTTTTATTTGAATAAATGAACAACAAACTTTGTACAACAGTTGGTTTTGTAATAAAAACCTTATAGAATTCATAAGAGTATCAAAACACTGCATACAGATTGATTGTTATGGAAGCACTTAACTGCCATTTAACGTATCAATGACACGTGCCGAATGATATGTCATGTATCGTTGAGTACTTTTAAGTGGGTATACTGAAATTATTAAGCTTTTCTAGTGGGTATACTCTGTATACCCATGTATCGCGTGGACTACACCACTACGTAGTAGAGTCCTAACCAAACGTTGCCGTCACAGGTTGGAGATCTGCAGTACGCTTCACCTGCTACTGTGTCTCGCTGTGGGATGGTTTTTGTTGACCCCAAAAACTTGCGATATACCCCATACTGGGCAAGATGGGTGAACAGCAGACCTGAGCAGGTTACAGAAAAATACTTTCATTGTGTAAATTTTTTTGCATATTTAAACTGAAAATTTTATACATATATTTATGTTTTTACAGGAACAAGAGGTGCTTCACGGACTGTTTGAGAAATATGTACACGGATGTATTGACATGATTGTAGATGGTATTGTTGATGGCAAACAGGGTCAGAAACTGGAGACGGTCGTCCCACAGACAGACCTGAATATGGTAGGTTAATCTTATCCATTGAAAATTTGTTCTAGTATCTAAAATGATGTTTTAAGGATGAAGGAGCAAAATGATACTCCTTGAATTGAGTGTGTTTTGATAATGCTTTCAGGTTACTCAGTTGTGCTTGACACTTGAAGCATTGCTTGAGGACGACTGCAGCAGCGCTGATGTCCTGGAATGTTACTTCCTGGAAGCGCTGTACTGTTCACTGGGAGCCACATTGTTAGAGAGTAGTAGGACCAAGTTTGATGAGTTTGTCAAAAGGCTATCCTGCTTTACCACAGAGTATGATGAAAAAGTCCTTGTTGGGCCTGGTGAGATCCCAGGTATTATGCAAATCTCTTTCTACTCTCTTTTTACTTTGTATATATATATATATATTTTTTTTTTTGAATAATGATGAAACCACCATTCATGCTTAAATTCATGCATTTTTATTTTTATTTTGATTAAAAGGGAATGTCAGTTTCAACATAACAGTAATAAAAAGATGTGTGAAGGAAAATGTGTTCTTCAAAAGAATATACCGTATGTGACGGTATTTAAAATAATGTGTGAGAATAATTGCCCATTGACTCCCTGCATACAGGATACCTGCCAACTCTGTATGATTTCCATTTTGACGGAACACAGATGAAGTGGGTTCCTTGGAGTTCTTTGGTCGCCAAATACAGTCACAGCCCTGAAATAAAGTTTGCTGATATCCTAGGTAACAATTACCTCTGTGAGCTGTGTTGGAGAAACAATGCATAAAGTACAGATGAAATACATGCAATAAGTACTAGTAAACATATAAGCATATATATATATATATATAA